GCCTGGCCGTTCGGCATCGGTGGGGTGGCGGCCGCGGCGGGGGCCGGGGCCGGGGAAGGGATGGAGCCGGGGCCGGGGCTGGGGCTGGAGCTGGGACCGGGGAAACGACGGGGCCGGGCCCTGAGCCGCGGCCGGGGCAGCGATGGGACCGCGGCCGGGGCTGGAAGCGGGGCCGGGGAATGATGGAGCCGGGGCCGTGCCCCCACCCGCAGGCCTGTGCGGCGGCAGCGCCTCGGGCAAGACGACGGTGGCAACGCGGATCATAGAGGCGCTGGATGTGCCCTGGGTTGTGCTGCTCTCCATGGACTCCTTCTACAAGGTGAGGGCCGGCGGGGCCGGTGCGGTGGTGACGGTGCCCGTGGGGCCGGCGCGGCGCTGAGTGGCCGCGGTGCCCGCAGGTGCTGGATGAGGGGCAGCAGGCGCTGGCAGCCCGCAGTGACTACAACTTCGACCACCCTGACGCCTTCGACTTCGAGCTGCTCGTCAGCGTCCTCCGCAAGCTCAAGAAGGGCAAGAGCGTGAAAGTGCCGGTCTACGACTTCACCACACACAGCCGCCGCCGCGAGTGGGTGGGTGCCGCAGGGAAGCCAGGCTGGGGCCTTGGCGGGGAGGCAGGCTGGGCGCCGTGGGGAGAGTCTCCGGGAAGGGGGGGACGCCTGTGGAGCAGGGGTAGGGAGCACGGAGGCTGTGGGAAGGCAAAGGGAGGGAGCATCTGGAGGCCATCAGGTGCGGGAGGGTCATTCTGGGGAGATTGGGGGTGTAGAGGCAGGGAGGGAGCATGGAGACACGGAGGTGGACGTGGAAACAGGGGCCAGCGCAGAGTTCAAGGAGGGGCTGCACTGCAGAGCGTGGAGGAGTGCAGGGGGGATGGGGGCTCGGGGGGAAGGTGTTGGGCAGAGGTTTGGGGTTTTGGAGCAAGGGTTTGGGTTCTGGGTCAGTGCAGGGCTGGGTTATCAAGTGCAGGGGTGAGAAAAAGGGCCCTTGAAGGTTGGGTGAATGCAGGATGGGAATCCTGCTGGCAAGAGCCCGGCATGGGTCAGGTGTTGAGGTGCTGTCTGTGCCAAGTGTTGGTGTTGCTGCAATGTGCGCAAGGCGGCAGGACGAGTATGGCTCTTATCTGCCCACAGAAAACGGTGTATGGCGCCAATGTCATCGTGTTTGAAGGGATACTGGCTTTTGCGAACAAGGAGTTGCTGAAGGTATCGCTGCCTGATGTGGCTGGTGGCCCATCTCAGTGCGTGGTGTGGGAGATGTGCGGTGGTGTGCTGTGGGTGGGATGGGTGCTGTCCTGGCCCAGCCCTTGGTGCCACTGGGGCCGGGTGATGGCTGGGGGCTGCGGAGGGGGAGAGGTCCTCCACCGCTTGTTCTCAGGCACCTCTGTGTCAGAGGCTTCAGGGGAGGCAGCGCTGGGTGCTATTGTTGCGGGGGTCAGAGCTGGCTGGGCTGTGTGCGAGGGGAACGAGGCAGGTCTGACGGGGGACTACATAGGGGGTGCTCACCCCTCCCAGTTTTCCAGCTCCTGGACATGAAAGTGTTTGTGGACACGGACTCTGACATCCGGCTCGTGCGGCGGCTGCAACGTGACATCATGGAACGTGGACGTGACATCGTGGGTGTCATCAAGCAATACAACAAGTTTGTGAAGCCAGCCTTCGAGCAGTACATTGAGCCCACCGTGCAGGTCGCTGACATCGTGGTGCCCAGAGGTGAGACTGCGCTGTGTTTGCCAGATTCAACCTGAGCATTGGGAGTGGGTGTCCTGGGATGGGCTTGGGTCAGCGTGTGTCTGACTCAGCTTCTCTGCTCTCCCATCAGGTGGGGAAAACTTTGTGGCCCTGGACCTCATTGTGCAGCACGTGCACAGCCAGCTGGAGAAGGTGAGGTGTGGGCTGATTGATTGCTGCTAGTGTGGGCGAGGAGGATGGAGCACTCTGCATGCAGAGAGGAGGTTGAGGCTGCTCATAGCCCTCTGCTCCTGGAGCACCCAGAGGCTCTCAGTGTTGCCTCTCTCTTTACAAAAGGTCTTAGTGTAGCTCTTGGGGCAGACTGAGCTGTGACATGGGGGCTGGGCACAGAGCCTGCCCCAGCAGGGGTGCCTGGCATTTACAGTCTGGCCTGGCCTCAATCGCCTGCCGTCCCCCTCAGTCCCAGTCAGCTCTTCGTGATCTCAGCTGTCCCCACTTCGCTGGACCCTGGCTGCACCCCAGCAGCCCGCCCTTACCTCCGAGCTGTGCCCAGTGCAGTTTTTCTTGTTCTTGGTTCAGCCCCAGGAGAAGGGGTGGGAGCTGGACTGGGGCTGCCCTCGGGTGGCTGTGGCTGGCCGGTGCAGTGACTGGATGTCCTTTCTTTCCCCTTTTGCCATGCTGGATGACTCTGCTCTACCACCCAGCGCGAGATCACTGTCAGGTACGTGGGGACCCTGCCAGCTGCAGAGGGGCCGGTTCCTGAGCTGGGGGTGAGGGCTGCCAGCACCCACTCTTCTCGCAGTCCTGCCTGTTCTCTGTCCCTGCTGGCCAAAGCTTTGCTGAGATGCCTGAGCGTAGCTGCTCTTCCTCAACTGTTGAGGTGGCTGTCCTGCAAGCAGCTTCTTGGGGCTTGTCTCACTGCGGGCTCCTGTATGACCTGTCCCACAGCAGCTATGCTTGGCTCGTGTGACTGGCTCCCTGTGCTGCTCCTGTCCCTTTCTGGAGCATGGTTCCTGCCCTGAGTGTGGGATTGCCCCAGGATGCTCCCTTCTATGGGAAAAGTGTCCTCGACAGTCCCTGTTCTCTGGGACTTCATGTTGTCAGCCTCAATGGGACAGTCTTTGTACCTCAGTGCAACCCAGGCAGCCCTGTCCAAGGGTACGTAGCAAGGTCTTGCCCATGCAATGCTTCTGCTCCTGCTCCCCCAGTGCTGGCAGAAGCTCATGTGTGTGGAGGCTGCTGACAGCTGGATTTGTGGTCTGGGGAGGTTTGCCCCAGTTTTACAGGGTGGAACTGCTTTGCGATCTCATACCTGGTACCAGACGTGGGGCTTTCCTGGGGATCAGGACAGGCCAAGCACTTTCTGGTGTCCAGCCTGTGTGGCGGGTGCTCCAGGAGGAGCCTTCCTTCAGCTGGTGGCCATGTCCTACTCTGAGGGAGTCCAGTGCGGCGGCTCTTGTGTGCTGTGCAGCTCTGATCACTGCTTCCTTGTTACAGGGCAGCTCTGGCTTCTGCCCACCAAGGGCAACCCCTGCCGAAGACGCTGAGTGTCCTGGAGAACACACCGCAGGTGCGAGGCATGCACACCATCATAAGGTAGGTCCCTGCCTCCTTCAGGATTTCCTTCTCACAGAAGGGCTGTTCTGTAGGATCACACTACAAAACCTGGTGTGAGTTTTCCCTCCTCTGCTTTTAGGGCTTCAGACGTAGGTGTTTTCTTCGAGCAGAACTGCTGAACAGAGCTGGCTCTGGCCTACAGATGCTTTTTTGGTGACAAGACCTTGGCAGATCTGCTCTGGGGCAACCTTTGAGCCATGGGCAGGCTCTTATGATGAGATGAGACTGGTTAGCTCTTTCCTAGCTGGAGCGCAGGCGTAGTAGCTGGTGGCATGGGGTAGGTGCCCTTGCTGCCTCTCTCCTGAGGCACTTGGTTTTAGAGACAGCTTACAGAAGAGACCCAGGCTGCTGCTTCCATGACTGCTGCTCACTTGGCCTTTTCATTCCCCACTGATGCTTCTTTTTTCCAGGTGACTGTAGCGTTAGTGTACGGTCAAGAGCCGAATCCTGTGGGACCACTAAGACATTCCTTGTTACTGCAGTTGCAGGAGCTTGCAGCCTCTGTGTGCATTTCTGTCACTGGGTTGTAAAAGAGGATGGGGAAGCCGACCTCAGCAGGGCTCTTCTCCTGCGCCTGCTCATGCTCTGGCTGGCCACCAGCACCCATGTGTTTGTTTGGAGAACGTAACCTCACGACCACATGCAGGCTGTGCATCTCCTTGTAGGAAGCAAGGTGTTCCTTCTCCAGGCTCCTCCCGTGACTCCTCCCTGTCGAAGCACAGGCTCCAAAGGTAGTTCACAGCAGTAAAAAGCCAGGCGATGTGCCTCACCAGATGTAGCACTGCATGTGCACCAGGCAGAGTCCTGTGCCAGCGTCTGAAGCCCACACATGTCAGCCTTAGGCTGTGGACTTCTAGTAGTTCTGAGTTCAGGTCCAGCTAAGGGAACTTTAGAGCAGGTATCGCCTTATCCCTCCAGCATCTTCGTGCTCCAGTGCTCTGGCAGCGGCTTCTTCATGGCCTGAGCTGATTTCTCTAGCTCATCTGCCGTCTGTGTGCTCAATGGTAGATGAAGGTCAAAGCAAGATCCTGGAGGAACAGCACCTCCAGAGGCTGAATGTTGTTGCTTGTAAAGGAGCAGTTTTCCCTTATCCCAGGGTTATGTAGAGAAAGAAGAATGCAAGCCTTTGTGTGGCAGCCTGCCCAGTCTCCAGCCTTCCTGTTTGCAGGCTCTGGCATGGACTTTTTACCTATGGCTCCTCCTGTTCCCTCAGGAGAGCCAACAGCATAACGCTGGTCTGTGCTGCTCTCAGACGAACATGAGCCTGGGCTGATCCATTAGCAGTGCCAAGGGCCAGGTTTGACCAGCCCTTGTCTGGAAGGGACAGCACTGCAGGCAGGCACTGAATCCTCTCTCATCTGTAGCAGCTGTTCCTGTCTTCCTCCTTGAAGTCTGTGTCCTTTTGCCTTGCTGGGAGTGGCCTGTTGTGCCTCCACCTTTATGCCACAAGCGTCTAATAACCTTAATCTGCTTAGACTTAGGAGTTTGTTCAGCTACCCGAGGGAGGGAGGGGATCAAACCCATGCAGGCTGTGGTTGGAGTCCAGCAGGGCTGCTGATCTCGAGTTACTGTAGTGGTGCTGTGCTTCTGGAGCCAGCCGGTGTGAGCGGCAGGGCTGCAGGAAGGCGGACTTTGCCTCTTCCAGATGGTAAATGAAAAATACCACATTTATGCGGGGCGTTGACTTGGCCTGTCAGCCACCCCCTCAAATCCTGCTGCAGCCCAAGAAAGCAAGGAAAGCTGAGGCAGTGCTGTTACTAAGATCTCTAAGCTGAGGAACTCTTCTGGTAAAAAGTTCCCGTATTTGGTGACAGCAAGGCAGCTTGTATTTCTGGTGCTTGTAGGTGATACTTGGCAGCGCTCATTTGCTTCTGCGTGACTTCAGCATGGTGTGGAACTGTTAATCGTCCTCACGCGTGACCCTCTGGGCTTCCGTCTGCTCCAGAGGCACTTCTCCCTGCTTGCTGACATTCTCTTGGGCTCCCTGGGGAGGTCCAGACTGGCTGGGGATTGAATGCATGCCTTCTGCCAAGCTTCCCACACCTCCATGCGTGAAGTTACTGTGTCTTGGCATATTTGATCTCTCGTCTTCATTCTGGCTGCCACAGTGCCATCAGCCCCTTTCTGTAGTGGCAGCCCTCGTGGAGTGCTGGTGTTCCCACCAGTACTGCCTTTCAGAGTGCCTTGGCACACCAAACCTGAGGTCTGTGGATGCACCAGAGAGCTGTGAACCAGGATTTCCCTCCAGCCTCCCTTTTTCCATCCTGCTTTTCCCAGTGCAGCTCCCTTGGAGGCAGCCTGTTGATCTCAGCTTGCCAGGCTGCTGCCGGCCAACGTCGTTTCCCTGTTTGTTGTTCAACACTGGAGGCTCTTCTGTGCTTCAGCCTTCTGTCTATGAGGGCCCTCCTGGAAGATTATGTTGTGGCAGCAGATGAGCATCTCACTGAGTATAGTCATGGCAAATTCAGGCTTGGCATCTCAGGGAGAAGTGGTTTCCAGAGTGATTTTCTGTTATTGTGGAGAGGCAGAAACTGAAAAATAGTCCTACACTAGAATAGCTGAATGATTTCATTCATGATCAGGCTGAGGATGGACAGTGTAATAGGGGTATGAGTCATATCTTCCAACGTAGAAGATGCTTTGCTATTAGGTCCAGATAGCCAGGGTTTGGTGCCACCTGTCAGGACTCTGCAGCACCTGAACAGTCTTTTCTGCCCCCCAACAGCCCTGAAGCATCTCAGACTCTCCCTGCCACAGGAGAACAGCATTTCCTTTCCACTGCTTCCATCTTTGCCCATCCACGCTTATGGAAAGGCTCCGGGACATACCCTGCGGCGCAGCCTGTGGGTGGCGTGGGTCACCTGCCTCTCTTAGCAAATTTGCTCTGGCCTGAGCCTTTGGACTTTGTACTCTGGCAGGACACGTTGTCCTGCGGTAGAGCTGCCCTTGAGAAGCATGTGGCTGTTGGTGCTTCAGTGAGGGGCAGAACGAGGTGCTCCCTGCATGCCGGGAAGTTGCCAACGCCAGAGAGGGTGGTTCAGACATGAAACCTGTCCATGCTCAAGTTTCCTGGGGGCCTGAAATGTGATGGCTGCCTTTCAGCCTTGGACACTTATGTTCGTGAGCTAAGCCGACACCGTGTTCAGGCTCCCAGCCAGATGCTTGCTGGTCCCTGTCAGGCCACCCAGTGCCTTCCGGCTGTCTCCTGCTGAGAGTACCAGGGAAGATTGAGGTCCTCAGGAGCTGCTGGCTGCAGTGCTGCTGTGCCCAGCTGTGGGTTCCTGGCTTGCGGGGGTGTGCATGCTGCCCATGGCTCGGCTCCCGCCTGTGCTGAGGGGGTGGGCAGCGCCTGGAGCAGTGCATGCTCTCAGGCTTCGTCTGGGCAATGTCAGGAGGGTCCGAGCCTGTGGTGTGATGCAGTGGGGTGAGCGGGCCTGGCGTGTGGACGGTGGTGTCCCCTTTGGGAGTGCTCTCGGCATGGAGGCACTGCTGGAGTGATCCCACTCTCTGGTCGCTGTGGGGAGGGTCCTCTGCTGCTGCTGGGGGATGTCAGGGCTGCCCTCCCTCGCAGCACCCCTTCCCTCTTGTGTCATTGGCAGTTGCTTGTCCCCTGAGTAAGGAGAAGTTTCTTGGTTGTCTTTGCCCCTGCATGAAAAGAGAGGCACACTGGGGCCTTCACAGCGCAGGGACTGAGGATACTCCTCTGTCCCTGGGGCGCCTTTTGGAGGCTGCAGAGGAACCTGCCTCTGCAGCAGCACTGATGGACCTGTCCCACCAAGGTCAGGGGCTGGCCGGGGCGGCCAACTGCCCCTGTCTGTGGCAGAGCGGCTCTGGGGCCGGCAGGGCCAGTGTGGGGCTTGTCAGGGGTGGCTGGCTGGGAGAGACCACCCGTGGAGGCAGGGCTGGTGCTGGGCTTGTGCGCCTGGAGCTCAGGTGGTACTGGGGGCTTCCAAAGCTGCCGTGGGTGAGCGTGTGGGTGAAGCCCACCCGTGGGGGAGCATGCGTGCTGACAGCCCACGCTGAAGAGCTGTAGGCAGGTGCCTGTTGTCTTCTAGACCAGAACTGATTTTCTGACTTCTCTGGGAGCACCCTGCTGTCCCCAGGCTTGTTGGAAATGTCCATATTAGTTGGGTTTTCTGGTCACTGCGGAGCTCTCGGGTGCGAGCTACCCAGGTCTGGCTGCAAAAATGTCTCGGAATAGTAGCGACTGTTTATCCTTCTCCTGAGCACTGTTGGCTGGGCTGTCTGTCATCGTGGTGAGATGTGAGAAGTGGCAGATGATGTCTTAAAATACAGCATAAAAATACTCAGTATCCTTCTGCCTCTTCTGGACTGTTGCCAGTTCCACCTCTTCCATCTGGAAACTGGCAAATGTCTGTAGGGTTCCTTTGTTCCTTACGTTCTCCAGAAAATACTAGGGGTATACGCAGGCTGCACTGCTTTAGGCACAATTTCAGCTGCGTCTTATTAACCATAGTCCTTCGGTGTCAGTCTGCCTCTTGGTTACTGTTCAGCCAGGGAGCCAGAAGCTTGTTCTTGATGTTTCTCCAGTAAAATGGCACTTAAGTTACAACCTGCTACTTACTCTTTTGCCAAAGCAGCCGGAGACTGTGAGAGGTATAGATGGACATTGGTGGATTCTTCATGGTCACGTTTTAAAAGACAAGCAAATCTCAGATTCTCCTCCTTTTCCTGCTGAGTGACCCCTTGCTGTAGGTACTTTGCCTTCAGGAACTTTACACTGACAGTGCTGGTGGAGGAGCTGTTCTGCTCACCTGAAAATACCCTCTGAGTAATGTGGGACTGGGACAGTCCTGCCTGTCATTAATGAAGTACTGTACACGCTTGTGTTACTGTGCTTTGAGAACCCTGTGTTGCAGGAAACACAAGGTTTTGTGCAGCCGTTTCTTTTGTGTGATGAATGAGTTGGACTACAATATATATGTGTGCTGATGGTCAAAACGCTCCCAATAAGAAAAGCCAGCCTCTTTCCCCCTCTACCCCTGGCACTGGGATTAGCGTGTGTGCATGTACAGTTGGCTTTACTCCTCCTGAGGGAAAAGGGGAGGTCTCCTGTGAATTACAATCCCATTGTGGTTTTATTCTGGTTTTTATTTATTTTATTTCTTACTGCCCTCAGCACTTCAGTGTTGTGGTGAGATAATGCCAGGTATTTCAAAGTCTGTCTGATTCCCGGCATTAGTTTATCTCTAACTTGGTACATAAATGGAGAGGAGTTGAGAATATGTCAGACGTTTTCCCATTGCCGGTGTCAGGTAACCCAGCTGCTTTTGGCTGTGGTGTGGTCTGGTCTCTTCCATGTTGAGATGCTCCTGGAGCTGGCTGTCCTGCTGTGCCGTGGTCTGTCCTGGGCATGCTCACATTCCGCCTTGTGCTCCCCTGACAGGGCCCAAGCAAAACACTTGCTGCTTGCTCCTGAGTTTCTGTTGCCCCAAGAACCGATGGTGCTGCCTGATGTTCTGCTGCTCCCACCCCCCATTTTTCTCCTGGCTCTTTCCACGTAGTCAGCAGTTACGTCCTAAATCTCCAGCCCTGCAAATCCTCCAGCAGAGATTCAGCAGCAATTAGAGGTCATGCTTGGAGCGAGTAGTGCTGCACCTCCACACTTGCTTCTCAGGCACCTGCCTCATCTGTATTCAGGATGTACATCTACACCAGGCTGCTGATGTTATGCTCGCTTATCCCTCCTTTTTGCCATTTGGTTTTATTCACTTTGCTAGTCTAGCTAGCCCACTATGCAGAGTCAGGTCTGAACTGTCCCCAGTGTCCCGAAGAGGACTGAGCAGTGTTGCATGGCATCCTTTCACTTTATCTGATCTGCATGATCTGCTGCAGGCTTTATGTCCCCCTTCCAGGGGAACTGAACATATTTCTTGACCATGTGGTCCCTTCTAGACAACACCCTAGGTCTTCAGCAAGCCCTGAAACATCAATGATCACTAACTGTGCCTCCTCCCTGAGAGCGTCGAGGTTTGGACTGCTCTCTGTTCGTGCCAGCCTTCCTCTGGAGCCCCGTTTGCGTCTGCGGGGTGGAGCAGGGACTCTGCTCTGATCTCACACTGGTGTCCTCCCTTAACAGGAACAAGGACACGACCAGGGACGAATTCATCTTCTACTCCAAGCGCCTGATGAGGCTGTTGATTGAACATGCCCTCTCCTTCCTGCCACTGAAGGTGAGCGACTGCTCCTCGGGTGCGGCCACAGCCACGTCTCCCCCTCCTGAGCCCCCAGGCCGTGCGGGGACCCAGCTTCGTCCACAGTCCCTTCTCCTCCCCTTTCTGCAGTCGGTCACTGTGGAGACTCCCCAGGGGACAATGTACGAAGGAAAGCGGTTCCACAGGCAGAGGGTGAGATGTCCTGGCCCCTTTCTCCCCACAAGCACGTGGCTGCCACATCTCTGGTCAGCGTGGACTGGGAAAACCTGGTGGCTCCTGGGGTCTGTCCCTGTGCTGATGAGCTGCTTGGCAGGGCTTGTTCCCCCCTCCCGCAGTGCCGGAGCCTCAGGAGCCCATGGGAGCGGCTGCTTTCCCTGTACAATGGCAGCAAATGTGTTCTCGTCCCTTGCCCAGATCACAGGCGTGTCCATCCTGCGAGCAGGGGAGACCATGGAGCAGGCTCTTACTGCTGTGTGCAAGGACATCCGCCTGGGCAAGATCCTGATCCAGACCAACCACGACACAGGGGAGCCCGAGGTGAGCTTCGCCTGCTGCCCCAGCGCGGACCCCGCCGGCACTGCGAGATGGGTGACCACCTCTCCTTCCCTCCTCAGCTCCACTACCTGCGCCTTCCCAAGGAGATCAGTGAGGACTACGTCATCCTCATGGACAGCACTGTGTCCACGGGAGCCGCGGCCATGATGGCAGTGCGCGTCCTGCTGGTGAGGGACCAGGGGTGGCAGGGTGTGAGGTGGGGGTGTGTGGCCCTCCTGGCACCAGCTGGGCTCTCACGGCTCTGCATCCTGCAGGATCACGACGTGCAGGAGGACAGGATCTTCCTGCTCTCACTGCTGATGGCGGAGATGGGGGTGCACTCCGTGGCCTATGCCTTTCCCCGTGTCCGCATCATCACCACTGCCGTGGACAAGAGGATCAATGAGGAGTTCCACATCATCCCGGGCATCGGTGAGGGCAGACAAGGGTGTGCTGTGCCTCGTGGGCTGGGCCCCCAGCCCCTCGCCCCGGCAGCCTGGTGGGGTGCCCCGCGGCCATGCTGAGGGAGCCTGGGGTGTGGTTGGAATTGTGACGGGGCCAGTGCTGCCATCGCCTCACTCTGTCCCCTCATCCTTCAGGTAACTTTGGGGACAGATACTTCGGCACTGACGGCCCCTCTGCCTGGTGTGAGAGCGACGGAATGGACTGCTGAGCTGGCTGGCCACAAGGCCACCAGCCAGGCTGGCTACAGGGCCGGCCCCCTGCCCCCAGGAGGGGCTCTGAGCTGCCAGTCTGTGCCCACTTCCCCGCAGCATGGCGCTGCCAGCCCCCGGCTCTCCTGCCCCGCAGGATGAGCCCCTCGCTGCCAGCCTCTCCCTCTGCCCCACAGGAGCAGCCCCTTGCGGGCCTGATCCTCCCCTCCGAGAAGGAAGGGAGGGATGGCACCTCCTCGGCCCGTGGGGAGTGGGGGGGTGCTCCTCACCTCTGGAGACCTGCCTCTGCACCCCAGGCCGGCCCTGCCTGCGGGAGGGAGAGGTGGTCTCCCTGCGGCCTGTGCCAGATGGGCTGGTCACCCTCTTCCCTGGGGAGGAGGGTGATGGGGTCTGGTCCCCTTAAGGCTTCCTCTGGGCCCTGGCTGGGTGCCGGGCAAGCTCCCTTGCTGGAATCTGTATTTATTTGTATTTATTTTTGAGCAGCTGCCTACCTTGGCTCTCCTGCGGGGCAGGCCAGCTACTTGAAAAACATCAGGGATTGGGGATGTCCTCAAGGAACCACCTTGTCCCCACTGATCCGACACTCCATTGCCTCCCTGTCCCCGGCCAGCCCCATGCAGGCTCTGGGCTGGCTGGTGGCGCCAGGAGGGCAGGGGCTGCCTTCGGTCCCCGCGCCGGTGGGAGGGTTTGATATTCAAACGTTCTCCCGGTGGTGTCCCAGCCCCTGGGACCATCCTGGAGCCTGGCGTCCTAGGGGCGGTGAGGGGGGGCTGGTGGGGTGGTGGTCTGACCAGCCCCAGCCACCACCGCCCATGTTGCTCAGGTTCTTCTTTGAGAGGGCAGCAGTGGCCTCGCCTCAAGCAGGAACGGTGCCAGAGCAGGGCCCGGGGGTTGGGGGCCTGGCCCGTATCCCCCACACACCTTTGCTGGCTGAAGAGGCCCTGCTGTGCCCCCAGCCCTGGGGCGCTGCCCCCTCCCCGCTGCCCCGGCTGCCTTTGTTTTGTACCCCAATAAAGGAGCAGCGCGACCCCCCGGGCTGCCGCCTCCTGCCTGACACCTTGTGCTGGGGCTGGGCACGCGGGGACGGGCAGGGGGTGCTGCCCCACCGTGGGGGTGTCACGGTGAGCCGGGGGTCTGATGGGGATGTCACCAGGTGCAGGGCTGTGTGATAGGGGTGTCACTGGTGGTGGTGGTGGGGTAGTAGGGGTGTCACTGCATGCCGGGGGTGCTGGGGTGTGCGATGGGGCTGTCACTGGGGGTGGTGGTGATCTGGGTGTCACTGTGTGTGGGGTGGTTGGG